ACACACACACACACACACACACTCCTAGTTGAGAAACAAAGTTTTAGGAGAGCATGAGTTTTGCAGTCAGAGTGACTGGTTTCCAGTTTTGGCTCTGATGCTGTCGGCTGTGTGACCCTGGCCATGTCACCTAACCTCTCTGAGCCTCCATTTCCTCTCTGCTTTCACTCCCCAGCAAGGCCAGTGTGGGGATGGAGGTAGGTGGGGTGGTAGTCAGGATGTTGTTTTCTTTTCTGGCACAGAGCAGGTCCCCGAGAACTTTAAAGAGGCTCTGTGGAGGGCTTCACTCTGTACAGGGAGACCGGGTCCAGCAGAAGCCGTCTTGGGCAGACTCAGGAGACTGAAGATGCAGAGTTACTGAGGCCGCTGTGAACAGTGCCTGTCCTCCATTCACCGCTTCCAGGAAGAGGAGCTTCATGAGGGTTTCCTGCCTTGCTGTGAGGCTTCTCTCCAGGGGAGCCACATGGAGCAGATCCAGCTGACCCCCGTAACTGACTCCCCTGACTCTAGGCTGCTAAATCCGCTTAGGACTGATGGTCCAGCAGGAGAGCCTGCCCGGCCACTCGGATCTGAGTTTTCCCACTGGCAACTGTGATGTCCCCTTGCGGGTGGGTGAAATGCCCAGATTTCACTCTTCAGTCTCAAGGCCTGGCTGGGTGACGGCGTTCTGGCTTGGCTGCTCTGCCCTGTCCGGGACCACAGCAAGTCCACCCAGGAGACAAATACGTCTGGTTGTACAGCACAGAGGCCCTCCAGTCTCGCTCAGTGGGTGGATCCGAGGGTAGGATGAGCTCTTGGGTGCCTGGAGGAATTTCATTTTTAAAAATCGTGATAGGGCTTCCCTGGTGGCGCAGTGGTTGAGAGTCCGCCTGCCGATGCAGGGGACGCGGGTTCGTGCCCCGGTCCGGGAGGATCCCACATGCCGCGGAGCGGCTGGGCCCGTGAGCCGTGGCTGCTGGGCCTGCGCGTCTGGAGCCTGTGCTCCGCAACGGGAGAGGCCACAACAGTGAGAGGCCCGCGTACCGCAAAAAAAAAAAAAAAAATCGTGATAAAATACAAATTACGTAAAATGGACCCCCTTGACCATTTCTAAGTGTGGCGCTCAGTGGCATTACATACACTCACATTATTGCGCAACTCTCACCCCCGTCCATCCCCAGAACTTCTTCATCTTGCAAAATCGAAGCTGTTTCCATTAAACAAGAATTCCCCTCTCCTCTTCCCTCCAGCCCCTGGCAACCACCCGTTTCTACTTTCTGTCTCTACGAATCTGACGGCTCTTGGTGCCTCATCGGAGCAGGATCATGCAGCATTTGTCCTTTTTGACTCTGCATAATGTCCTCAAGGTTTATCCATGTTGTAGCATGTGCCGGAATTTCCTTCCTTTTTATGGCTAATACTCCATTGTCTGTATAGGTTCCATTTTTTTTTATCCATTCATCCATCCATCCATCCACGGACACTTGGTATTTTCCTACCTTTCGGCTACTGTGAAGAATGCAGCTCTGAACATGGGTGTGCAAATGAGGTAGATTTTTTTGATGGTGGCGAATTCATTTGAACACATATTGGAGCAAATGACGGGTACACCACACTTCACAGACATGAACGCTTAGGGCGCCGCCAAAGTGATGGTGATTTAAGGATAAACATCCAAGAATGACGGCGGAGGAATGAAAGGCCCCGCGTGCCTTGGGTACCACTAGGTTTTGAGAAAGTCGGAGCCCCGTCGAGCGGAGGCCAAACCCAGGCCTCTCTCCTTGTCTTTCCCTTTCCAAGGCCCTCCTCTCTCTCGTCGGCCCTACCCAGACCAAGCCCGGAGGCCAGCCACTGCCCAGCCTGTCCCTCTCCGCCTCTTTTGGCTCCAAATCCCGGAAGGCATCTGATTAGCTGTGCTCTCACCAGGCCACCCTGATAGGTCACTGGTCAGCCTATGGATGGGCTCTCCGTGGTCAGGTGCTCTGCCTGGTCCAATCAGCGGTGGGGAGAGCGGGCTCACGCGGGGCTGCCTGGGGAGCTGTGGTTCTCCCGGCGGCCGCACTGCTCTCAGATTCCCAGCTCCCGTGGCTCCTCCGAGGTGGGCCCTGGAGGATCCCCTGCAGGTGGGAGGCTGAGGGTCAGGGTCTAAGCTGACTGCCCCTGAACCCCAAGTCTGCCGATAAACAAGGGCGGGAGGAGTGAGGGGGAGTCCTGCTGCTCGGTTGGGACCCGCCGGCGCCCCTTCTCCTAACGAGGCACCCGGGTCTTGGTGTTTGGGGAGTTGGTTGCTGCAGCTGTGTGTGTGGAGGAGGGGGCCTAGGGGCTCCCCAGACGCCGCCTTGCTCTCCTGGGCAGCCGTGCCTTCCTGCCAGCGCCCCTTTTCTCACTCAGGGAGCCCGACAGTGAGGACTTCAGCTCCTGTGCTTTGTCGGCCTTGCCTAGATCAGAAAAACCCAGGTCCTAGGGTGTCCTGCTGGGAGGTGGGACCCTCTGCACCGGCTTTTCAGCGAGCCTCTGAGCACAGCGGTCCGTGGGTTCCAGACCACGGGGCTCGGGGGAGGAGTGGTGTGTGTGCACTGCTCTCTCCGCCAGGCACACACTCTGTCTACTTCTCCCAGCGGATCTCCCCTCCCCGAAGTGCCGGCCCAGGGGAGCCGGGCCCCGCATCCCAAGAGAGGAGCATCCCTACTTGCCCGGTACTAATGGCTACGTCACCTGTGCAGCTGGGCGGGGCCTCCGCTGGGCCTGGAGCTTGTTACTGGGAGGAAACGCATTTCTCCAGACTGGGAGAATTCAGACTTGGCGGGGGCGGGTAACTTCTTCTGGTTTATCTGGTTAGCATTTATCATTCAAAACAGGCCTCATTCCCTTATGGAGGGTTTTCTGTAAACAACTTAGAAGGTATCCCCACATCATCTGGGCTCCTACCCAGCTGGGGTTCCTGGCCTAAGGGACAAGGGGTGGCACCCCAGGGCACTGCAACACTACACAGGCCCCCAAGGGTTTGGGATCTGAAACCTGGAAGGCTCAGGGCTGTCTCCAGCACTGGTGGGCCCTCAGAGTGAGGTCCCCAAGGGTTTGGGATCTGAAACCTGGAAAGCTCAGGGCTGTCTCCAGCACTGGTGGGCCCTCAGCTGAGCCCCAGCCCACTCTGAAGGCCTAGCCCTGGTTTCTCTCTTGTTCTCTCCAGAGCTTTATTGATGTATAACTTATATACCATGAAATTTCTGGAGTTGAAAGGGCATAATTCAATGATTTTTAGTACATTTATAGAATTGTGCAACCATCACCACAATCTAGTTTTAGATCATTTCCACCCTCCAACAGAATTCTCTGCGCCTCTTTGAAGTTAATCCCTGCTCCCACCCCCAGCCCCAGGCAAGCACTGACCTGCTCCCATATCTATATATTGTACTTGCCTTTTCTGTATACTTCATGAAAATGGAATCATACAATACATAGTCTTTTGTGTTTGGTTTCTTTCTCTTTTTTTAAGTTTTTTTTTTTTACATATATCCCCATATCCCCTCCCTCTTGCGTCTCCCTCCACCCTCCCTATCCCACCCCTCTAGGTGGACACAAAGCACCGAGCTGATCTCCCTGTGCTATGCGGCTGCTTCCCACTAGCTATCTATTTTACATTTGGTAGTGTGTATATGTCCATGCCGCTCTCTCACTTCGTCCCAGCTTACCCTTCCCCCTCCCTGTGTCCTCAAGTCCATTCTCTGTGTCTGTGTCTTTATTCCTGTCCTGCCCCTGGGTTCGTCAGAACTATATATATTTTTTTAGATTCCATATATATGTGTTAGCATTCAGTATTTGTTTTTCTGACTTACTTCACCTGTATGACAGGCTCTAGGTCCATCCACCTCGCTACAAATAACTCATTTCGTTTCTTTTTATGGCTGAGTACTATTCCATTGTATATATGTGCCACATCTTCTTTAGCCATTCATCTGTCGATGGACACTTAGGTTGCTTCCATGTCCTGGCTATTGTAAATAGCGCTGTCAAGTTGTATTTTACTGTGATGAGATCTACCGTCCTAACACAATTTTAAGTGTGCAATACATTCTTGTTGACCATTGGTGTGTTTGATTTCTTTTACTTAGCATCATGTTTTTGAGGTTCCTCCTTGTTGTGGCATATATCAGAGTTTGTTCCTTTCTATTGCTGAATAATTTCCCGTTGTATGGATAGACCACAATCCCTTGATCTATTCACCAGTTAATGGCATGTGGACGTGTGCTTCCACCTTTTGGCTATTACGAACGATGCTGCTGTGAATGTTCAGGTACAAGTATTTGTGGGGACACAGGTTTTCATTTCTCTTGGATGGATACCTGGGAGTGGAATTGCTGGGTCATACGGTAAGTTTAAGAAACTGTCAAATTGTTTTCCAAAGTGGCTGCACCCCACTCCCGAAGTGTGAGAATTCCAGTGGCTCCACATCCTTGTCAACAGTTGATATGGTGCATCTTTTTCATTCTAGACGTTCTAATAGGTGTGTAGTGGTGCCTCGTTGTGCTTCGCCTTGCATTTCCTTAATGACTAATATGATGAACGTGTTTCATATGCTCATTGGCCATCTGTATATATCTTCCTTGGTGAAGTGTTGTTCAAATTTTTTGCCCCCTTTAAAAACTGGGTTGTGGGGGACTTCCCTGGTGGGCCAGTGGGTAAGACTCCACGCTCTCAGTGCAGGGGGCCCGGGTTCGATCCCTGGTCGGGGAACTAGATCCTGCATGCATGCCGCAACTAAGAGTTCACATGGCGCAACTAAGAAGTCCACTTGCTGCAACTAAAAGATCCCGCACGCCACAACTAAGACCTAGCGCAGCCAAAATAAATAAATAAACTACAGCACATTTAGAAAAAAAAAAAAAAAAACTGGGTTGGTTGTGGGAATTCCCTGGCAGTCCAATGTGAAAGGACTCCGCGCTTTCACTGCTGAGGGCTGCGCGGCACAGCCAACCCCCCCCCCAAAAAAACTGGGTTGTGTCTCTTATTATTAGTTCAAAGAATTCTTGATATCGTCTGGATATGTGATTTGCAAATATTTTACCTCAGTCTGTGGCTTATCTTGTCATTTTATCAATGGTATCTTTTGAAGTACAAATGTTTTCAATTTTGATAAGGTCCAATTTATCATTTTTGTTTGTTTGTTTTATAGGAAAAAAATCTAAGGCCTCTTTGTCTAACCCAACGTCATGAAGATGATCTCCCAAGCTCATTCTTAAATTTATCTTCTTATCCCTCACCCCCCCACTTCCTAGGCCTGACAGTTCCACCTCCTCCGTTTTTTCTCTTTGCACTCAGCCACCTCCTTTTGTTCCCTTTCAGCAGTGATTTTTAAAAAAATCCCCAAATCAGATCACACTCCACAAGGGCAGCGATGTTCCTCTGTTTTGTTCACCAATGAGTCCCAAGTGCCTAGAACAATGCCTGGTATACAGTAGGTGCTCAGTAGATGCACTTTGGGTTGAGTCATATTGTTCCTCGGGAGGCACTGCATTGCACTTGGAGAAAAGGCCAGCCTCACTGTTCAGGCCTACAAGATCCAACACAATCCAACCGTACCCACCCTGCCCCCTTGCCCACTCCCCTCCTACCACCCCGATCTTCCCTCTAATCCTCAAAGGTGTCAAGCTCATTCCCATCTCAGGGCCTTTGCTTCAGCTGTTCCATCTGCCTGTGATTCACTTCCCTCTGCGTTCCCCAAGCCTGGCTCCTTTTGTCAGTATGAACTCGGCCTAAACATCACCTCCTCTGAGAAGCCTTCCCTGACCACCTCATCTAAAACAGCTGTCCCACCTGCCCATCACACTAGCACCACCCTATTTTCATTGTCCACAGAGCACTTATCTCCAGATATTTTCCCAGTTTATATATATTTACTTAGTGGATGGTTATCCTCCATCCTCCATGGGCCCCAAGATGGGAGCAGGGAGGAGAACAGAGCTCCCAGGCCCTCTTTAGGCAAGCCCTTCCTCCTTCAGGAGGCTTCCTTGGTTATTCCAGCCGCTAAAGCTTTCCTGTCTCCTGTCTGTCTTCCTTCCTTTCCCACTGCAGTAAGCTGTAAAGTTGGTGCCCCACAATGGACCATGCTTCCTAGTATTCATATCCTGGGGAGGTCTCATTCCACATTGTTGCTGAGCTCGGCCGTGTCACTTGTTCTGGCCAATGAAATATTAGCAAATACGATGGAAGTAGAAGTTTGATGCTCTCTTGCATATTGAGGATTGTTCTCACTGGAACGTAGCTGCCATGCTGTGAAGAAGCCCAAGTTAGCCCTGTGTAGAGGCCAAGTAGAGGAGAATCAAAGTACAGTCATCTCGGTATCCACGGGGGATTGGTTCCAAGACCCCCGCAAATACCAATATCCAAGGATGCTCAAATACCTTATATAAAATGGCATAGTATTTGCATATAAACTAGGCACACCCTCCTCTGTATTTTTAATCATCTCCAGGTTGCATATAATACCTAAGACAATGTAAATGCTGTGTAAATCCTTGCTGGCACCAGGCAAATTCACGTTTTGCTTTTTGGAATATTTTTCCCAAATATTTTCAATCCTTGATTGGTTAAATCCAGGAATGTGGAATCTGTGGATACAGAGGGCCACTGTACCTGAGATGACAGCCCACGCTGGCAGCCAGCTGAGTTCCCAAGCTGACAGTTAACATCAACTGCAGCCATGTGTGTGAAGCCACCTTGGACGTTTCACCCCAGTTGAGCCCTCAGCTAATTGCAGCTGTATAAATGATCCCAGAGGACAAAATATGAAGCAGAAGAACTGTCCAGTCAATCCAGAGGATGGTGAGAAACAAAAAATCATTGTTGTTTCAAGCCATAGTTGTGGGGTTGTTTGTTACACAGCAGTAGGTAACTGATACACCTGTGGAAGTCTCTTTTGTCTCTCAGGGCTCATTGGCATAATAACTGTAGCCCACCTACCCATCCAACCCTGCTTCCCGCTTTCCTGTTCATTGCTCTTGGAGTTTGGCAGTTTGCCTAATCTTCCCCCTCCTTGGAGCTGGGAAGCCCCTCCCAGGCCTTACTGACCTATCTCCTCACCTGCCCAGTTCTGTGCTCCCTCCACAGTAGTCATCAGGAAAGCTTAGGACCTTAGCGACACCTGGTAAGGCCCTCCCTGCCCCTCTAGGACCTCAGCACCCCATTGGACAAGGGGTGGCAGAGTGAGGGGCCACACCCCAAGGATCCCTGACCCTCCCATCCAGACTGCACTGGACCCTCAGTGGGCTCCGCTAGGCATGTCCCGTCCATTGCTCCCTGGAGTGGGAGCAGAGGACAGGCTTGGGACGCAGTGACATGGGGGTGGGTGGCCCAGGAGTGGGTCACAACCGACAGCTAGGTTCCCTCTGAGCCACCTCCCAGCTGGGCACCTTGTGGCCGGCTTCTCTGAACACTCTGGTCTCAGTGTCAGCCTTCTGTAAAATGGGCCAGGGTACGACGAACCCTCCCCTGGAGAGGAGCAGTTAGGCCGCTTGCAGAAGCAGCAGGCTCAGCTGGGTGGACAGCATTCCAAGCCAAGGAACAGCTAGCAGGAAGTTCTGTTCCCTGGGGGAGAGGTAGGGCTGGGCGAAGCGCTCGGGCAAAGCCGGTCACCAGGGGCCACTGTGGCCCGTAGGCCGCTGCAGGCGCTGGAGGGCAGAGGCGGGGTTGGGGGTCTTGTGGCTGTCTACCTACGGGGACCAGGGGGGCAGCGATCGTCCTCACTTCGAAGATGGAAAACAGAAGCACCCCTCGGCCTCTTCCACTCCCAGAGAGCTGCCCTCCGCACCCTGCGTCCTGCCGGGGTTCGAGGACTCCCTGGAAGGGGGAGCCCCAGGAAGGGATGCGAGGGGAGGGGGAAACGCAGAGCGGGAGCCCCCCTCGCTTTTCGCTCCCTCCCCATCGGACAACCCCCCCCCCCCGTCACGCCACGTGGCGAGTGGAGAGCGGGGTGGGCTGTTCGTGGGTGGAGACCCAAACCCGCGAATCCCGCCGCTGGGGCAAGGCGCTCAGTTGTCCCCTGTCCGCTAGTGACCTGGGGCGCCCCGGCCCCGCTCCCTCAGTGAGCCCCGTGCCGGGCTGAGGGCCGCAACGACGCGCGCGGCCGCCAGGGGGCGGTGTCGGCCCGCGCCGGGCGGTGGGACAGGACACCGCTTCCAGTTCTGAGCGGATGGAGAAACTGAGGCCCGGCCCACAGCGGCTCCAGCCAGGGCCTCGCCCCCTCCTCCGTGGGGCCGCACGGTGGGATCCGATAAGGGGACCTCCCTCCCCAAGCCCCGGACCCGGTGAGTCCCATAAGCCTAGTTGAGGTCCCCGTCCCCCCATGCCCGCTCCAGCCCCTTGCTGAGTGGCTCCGCCTCCCCGGACCTCAGTTTCCTCTCGTGTCACCTGAGAGAAAGTGATAGTGAGACGCGGGGATCCAGGCCCGACTGCTCGGGGGGTCTTGGGAAGCGGGAGGTTCCTGTGCGCGGCTGGTAGGCGGGGCCGCTGTTATCCTTAGGACTCATCTGAGCTGTGTGACCAGGGCCAGGCCTTAGTTTCCCCTGCTGACTCTCTTCACTGCAAACCACAACTGTTTACCGAAGGGGACAGTGGGAAAGAAAGCGGGAGGTGCAACGAAGTGGGGGGCTGCCCTTGGCCCGGCCCACCTCGGCTGTGCCCCCTCAGCACCCAGGGACGGGGTGCTGCCCGCTCTCCCCAGGGCAGCCCCAGGCCTGGGCATGGAGCCCCGAGGGGACAGCGATGCGCTCAAGGTGACACAGCCAGGCCGGCATCCAGCCCCTGCGTGCTGGGAGGCTCAGGGACAGGGCCAGCCGGCCTGCCCCGCCAGTGTCCTGCCCCTGCCAGAGCTGGCCTCCCCCAGGAGAAGCCAGGTCTGAGCTCTGCCTGGGTGGGCTGGAACCTGGGCTGGGCCACGGCCGAGTCCCCCTTGTGCTCAGGGCTCCTGGTGCCTGGGACTCTGGTGCAAAAGAGATGAATCATGTACTTCCTGCTCCCCGCCCTCCAGGGACCGGCCCACACTCCCCAGAGGGTGACCCCTAACCTGATCAACTCCTGCACTTAGTCATCAGCATTTATGGGGCACCTGCTGCCCCCCGCAGGGACAGGCTGTGGGCAGAGGAGAAACCCCCAGGAGCGCAGGACGCTGTGGTGGAGCCCGGAGAGGCTGAGCGAGCTCCTTCAGCCACGTGGCGCCTGAGGTGAGTCCGTGTGGGCTTCTGGGGATGGGCCGTCCAGGCGGAGGGCACGGCATGAGCCAGGGCTCAAGGCCCTGAGGCCTGAAGGCCAAGGTTCTCGTGGAATGTGAAGGGGTCTGGTCCTGAGGCAGAGCAGGGGTTTTCGACTCGGGTGGGTGGCATCTTTGAGCAGGGAGGGCTCCTAGCAGAAGGGCTGAGTTGACTTGGATTTGACGGGATCCCCTCAGGCTTCAAGAGGCTGGGGCTGAAGCTGGAGCCTGCAGAGTCCAGGGCAGCCTGGCCCTGGGAGGTGGGATGGAGTAGTGAGGGGGGCGGGGTGGGGCGTTTGGACACAGAGTCCAGGGGATGATGTGAGGGGTGCAGGTGACTCCTCTTCATCTCAGGTAGCCTCCTCCTCCAGGAAGCCTCTCCTGCCCACTCACCTGTGATCCTCAGGGCAGGCTGCAGGGGCTTGTTAGTTGAATTACTGAGTTAAGCTGCTCAGAAGGGCTGGCTGACCATGAGTCCCCTGGCGAGGCGGACCATCTGAGTCCCCAGCCCACCATCCCAACCTGCGTCTGAGGCCCCTCCATCCTGTGAGTGGGAGACATTTCTAGCAGAACTTTCCTCAGCTTTCACAAGGGGTTGGGAACTCACGAAACCAAAGCCTTCCCTTCCTAGGCCCGGACGAGGCTTATATGCTCCAGCCCTGTGGGCAAAGCCCTGTCCCTTCTCTGAGCTTGTTTCCCTACCTGTAAAGTGGGCTGACAATCCAGCCTACCACCCCTGCGAGCCCATGAGATGACGGCTGAGAGAGCATTTTGCCCGCGGGACCTGCCTCTTTAAAAACTTACCTTAATTATGCAAATAATATTTGAATATATGTCCCTTGTGAATGACTCAAACCATAAAGAAGGTACAGAGAATAAAAACTAAGAGCTCCTTCCTCCTCCCCCCCTCCCCCTCCCTGATGCTCTCCCCAGGAGGCCCTGCCCTCCACAGATCAGTGTGTGGCTTCCAGTATTTTTCAAACAATATGGGGGCTTCCCTGGCGGTCCAGTGGTTAAGACACTGCGCTCCCAACACAAGGGGCACGGGTCTTTTAACATTTTTGTGTTGAAGTATTGAAAATTAATCCTAGGAGCTCTGTTACTGCTGTGTCCTGCAAGAACTCAGTGACTTCTCAGGAAGGCTCTCTTATCTCCTCTTGACAGATGAGGAAACTCAGGCTCTTTATTACTGCCCGTGTCTGCGTGATACCTGGGCTGTGCGTTAGTCACGTGGCAGCTGTAGGTTTTACCTCCTAAACCAGGACCTGAGAGTGAGGGGGACACTATTATAATTATGCTGGGATGACAAGGACTGTCCTGAGCAAATACTCTTAAGGAGCCAGGAATTTTTCAAGTGATAAACCCCTGTCTCCAACTGGCCTAATCCCAAAACTGGATTATTTAAATATTAAATAAATTATTAAATAAATTATTAAAGACTAAATATACTTTAAATATTAAATAAAACATTTATTTAATTAATTAAATATTAAATTAAAAAATAAAAAACTCAACTGGCTCATTTAATGAGGAAGCCTGAGTCCTCAGGCATGGCTCTTTCCAGGGATCCTACATGGACCCAGAGACACCAGCGAGAGTCTCACATTGGGTTGGTGGTGGGGGCGGATTTGAGGGAGATGCTCCCTAGGCTCCAGGCCGACACAAGGTCCTATCCAAGAGCCAGGAGAGGAGCAGTGCCCAGCTGGGAAGGATGCAAAAATCCCAGCTGGGATGGATGCATCATGATTATTTTTGGTGTTCCCCTTTGGATGGTCACCTAGGAGGTTTCCGTTTTTTGGGTTTTTTTTAAGATTTTATTTTATTATTTATTTATTTATTTTATTATTTATTTTTGGCTGCATCAGGTCTTAGTTGCGGCAGGCGGGATCTTTCATTACAGTGCATGGGCTCTTCGTTGCGGTGCGCGGGCTTCTCTCTAGTTGTGGCGTGTGGGTTTTCTCTTCTCTAGCTGTGGCGCGCAGGCTCCAGAGCACGTGGGCCCTGTAGTTTGTGGCACACGGGCTCCCTAGTTGAGGCGCGTGAGCTCAGTAATTGTGGCGCACGGGCTTAGTTGCTCCGTGGCACGTGGGATCTTAGTTCCCTAACCAGGGATCGAACACATGTCCCCTGCATTGGCAGGTGGATTCTTTACCACTGGACCACCAGGGAAGTCCCAGGTTTCCAGTTTTTTATTATTAAAAACACAGCAGGGACTGTACCTCCTTAACAGTTGGTAGTTAACCTGTATTCTCTTCAAAGGTTTTACTCTGAAATAGTTAGAAATAAAATATGCAGGCAGACCCTCATTTTATTGTACTTTACTGTGCTCCACAGATACTATGTTTTTCTCAAATTGAAGGTTTGTGGCAACCCTACGTCGAGCAAGTCTGTTACCGCCATATTTCCAACTGCATTTGCTCACTTCCTGTCTCTGTGTCACGTTCTGGTAATTCTTACAATATTTCGAATCTTTTCATTGTTATTATGTTTGTTATGATGATGTACGATCAGTGATCTTTGATGTTACCACGACAACTCACTGAAGGCCCAGATAATACTTAGTATTTTTGCCAATAAAGTTTTTCTTTAAATTAAGGTGTGTGCCTTGTTTTTTTAGACATAGTGCTATTGCACACTTAATAGACTACAGTATAGAATGAATTTACTTTTATATGCCCGGGGAAACCACAAAATTTGTGTGACTCGCTTTATTACAATATTTGCTTTATTGTGGTGGTCTGGAACAGAACCTGCAATACCTCTGAGGTCTGCCTGTAAAATTAAGGTTGAATTCTTTCATAAAACTGTAAAGAATTAAACAAGTGAACAAAACCATAGCAGTGAGCATCGTACATGGAATTTGGCACTTGGGCCAGTATTTATCTGGATAAGATACCTACAAAAGAAATTGATGGACCCAAGAGCATGAGCATTTTCCCTGCTGGTGGCGCCTTCCAAGGTGCCCTCCCCTTCTCTGCCTGAGAGTGAGGGCTTGATTCCTGACCTTGTCAGTACAGGCTGTTTTCGGGATCCTCAGTTTTTGCCAATAGGCAAAACAAGAGCTTGTACGTTTGCCCATTTCTTACAGAGCTGAACATCTTCATGGGTTTATCGGCCAACCTGTGAATTGCCTATTCATACCCCTTGCCCATTTGCCTGGGTTAATCTTTCTAACAGGTTGCAGGAGCTCCTTATACATTCTGAATGCAGACCCTTGGAGGCCAGGTGGGCTTTGGCCCAGTCCATCCAGGTAGTGGTAGTGCAGGACCCAGGAGAGGTGGGGGTGGATGAGGGATACCCCTCCCCCCTCCCCTGGTCCTGGCCACTTCCCATACTGGCCTTGGCCAATCCTGTCCCCTGGAACAACTTCCTTTTGAGATCCGAAAATCCACCTGACTCGTGTCACAGATAGAGACTGGCACTCAGACAGGTGTAGTCACGCAGCCCAAGTCCCACAGCTGGTGAGTAGTGAGTGATTAGAACCCAGCTTGTCTGGCGCCAGCTTCCTCCCCCAGGAAGCTGCCCTCCCTCCTCTCTACCTGCAGCACAAACCCCAAGCCGTGCTCCCAGTCCTGGGCCACCTGCCGGATCCCCCCTGCTCTGATGACAGGCTCTGCTGGGCTTGCTGGGGGCAGCTGGGGCTCAGGTCAAGGAGGATCTTCCTGTGGTCAATGAACCCCTCTCCTCAAGCACCGCCCTCCACCCCTTGTCTCTCTAAGCGAATGACCTTGAAAATAGAAGCCATCTGAGTAGACTTCTCTGACTCACCTTTACCTGTGCTCTCATTGGCATCCATGCCCAACCCTCTGTCCCTCAGGAAAAACTGTCCCTGCCTGTGGCAGGGGCCTTCCTTCCACTCGTGGCAGCGCAGTCCCTGCTGGCCTCCAGGTCATGGCTCCACAGGTCCTTCCTGCATCAGTGTTTTGGCGCATCAGTGTGCTGCACACATGCACACATGTGCAAGACATGTGCAGCACACTGCACACGGACGTGTACACACATGCATGCACACACACACGTGGCTCCAGGTTTTTTTTTTATTATTTAAAATATTTATTTATTGAGGTTGCACCAGGTCTTAGGTGCAGCATGCGGAATCTGGTTTCCTGACCAGGGATCGAACCTGGGCCCTCTACATTGGGACCCCGGAGTCTTATCCACTGGACCACCAGGGGTGTCTCTCTGCTCTTTTATTCTTTAACCCACTTACCTCCAGCCCCCCTTTCCTCCCTACACATCTTTCCCAGTCCCTCCCCTAACGCTCCTCTCCACATAGGCTTCTCCTGCAGTCCCATGACCTTCTGTAAAGGGCACCATGACCTCCATGTAGCCAAATCCTCCTGACCCGCTGGTGGCACTTGTCCCAGGTGGCCACTCCCTCCTCCTCCGGACACCTGGGCTCTTTTGACTTCCAAGGGCCTCTCCCCATCCCTACCTGCTAGATGTTCCAGCCTGGCCTCCCAGCCTTCACTCCATTTTGTTTTTAATGTTTTGTTTAATTAATTTATTTATTTGGCTGCGCTGGGTCTTAGTTGCGGCATGTGGGATCTTAGTTCCCTGACCAAGGATCGAACCTGGGCCCCCTGCATTGGGAGCGCAGAGTCTTAGCCACTGGACCACCAGGGCAGTCCCCAAGCCTTCACTCCGGGTGTCATGCTTTCAGTGCCTTCTCTCTCCTCTGACCCCCAGCTGTAAGTCACCAGCAGGGCTTCTCCCTCCACCTCCCGTTACCATGGACACCCCAAGGTGGCTGACAGGCATCTTCAGGGATGCCCCACCCCCTGCTCCTCCCCAACCCGGGAGGCATTCTAGACTGTTCTCTCCCTCTCACACCCACCCTAGTTGGTCAGAGTCCACACAGAATTCGCTGCTTGTCCCAGTGCCCTCCATGCCGCTCGCCCTGCCACCCCTTCCCAGGCCAGTCAGCTACTGGGGCTTCCACCCTCTCCTCCTGGGGTTTGCTCCCCGTGGTGAGAGGGAGCCTGAGAAAACCCAAGGCAGCCCCTGCTCGGAGGCCTGGCTCCCCCGAAGTCCTCGCACTGACCTTGGGGTCCGTCTGTATTTGCAGCCTCGCCCACTACCCCTCCGACCTGGCCGCACACTGACGCTGCCAGCCTGCGGGGGGGCGGGACAAGCTCTCCCAGGAGAGAGGGGAGCATGACAGGGTCAAAGGTCAAAGCCATACTTAGAAGGCTGTGCTGGTGAGCCAGGCCTGAGCCGGGCAGTCCTCTCACTCCCAGGCCCCCTTAGTCTCTCTGGGAATTGAGCCCTCTGCCCCTCCTCCGCCCACTCCCCACCCCCACCCCCGTTCGCAGCCTCAGCGGGCACAGGATGCTGCTTCCTTAGGGGGAGCACTTCCCCCCATCGCCGCCCCAGACTCTGCCACAGCCCCATGGAGGCGCGGGCAGGCTGTTCACAGCAGCACTGGGGGACCACACACGTGCTGGGCACAGGGGACAGCTTTCACCAGCAGAAAACTCAACAGAGATGACGTGTGACCCAGAGCGGTGCGTACCCCAGAGGGTGAGTCTAAAAGTGACCGTGGGAGAAAAAGGCAAGCTGCTGAGAGGGCGCGCTGACAGCGTGATGGAGAGGGTTACAGTGTCAGCTGCCACCGTGGGAAAGCGCCGGCGCTGGGACTGGGCGGCAGGACAGGCACGCAGGCCTTCAGATTTCCCCACATGTTAGTTCTTAAACTGGCTCATGGGCTCCCAGGCATTTCAAAGTTATGTTATCGTTTTGTATGCCTGAAATAATCCACTAACTTCCAAACCTCCAGGTCCTTGGACACACCCAAGCTCCTTGTCTAGCCATTCAAGGCCCTATGCTTCCCGGCCCCTCCCAACTGACCTCTGGAGCCTCCCTCTGCCGCTTCCAGACCTTTGCTGCAGCCGTGTCCGGGCCAGGAATGCCTTTCCTCTGCCCCACTTGGTCTTTCTGGCTAAGTCCATGTCCATGGGAAGCTTTCTAAGTAGTGGAGAAATGGGGTTGAAACCATGCAGCTTAGATTGGGACTCGAACCCACGGTCTTTTAACTGAGATCACACACCTGGTCTCAGGACTTAATGAAGCTCAGGTTCTTGATGTCTCATCGCAGAAAGAATTCAGTCAGAGACAAAGTGATGGGTAAGAAGTGGATTTCTTTAGAGATAAACACACTCCACAAGACAGAGTGTGGGCCATCTCAGAAGGAGAGAGTGGCCCCAGGGTACAGGGTTGTCAGTTCTTACAGGGGTGGGTAGTTTCACAGGCTAATGAGTGGGAGGAGTATTCCAGCTATTTTAGGGAAGGGGCGGGATTTCCAGGAATTGGGCCACCGCCCACTTTTAGACCTTTATGGCTGGCCTTGGAACTGTCTTGGCGCCTGTGGGTGTGTCATTTAGCATATGCTAATATATTACAAGGAGCGTATACTGAGGCTCAAGGTCTAGTGGAAGTTGACTCCTTCACCATCTTGGACCTCTTTGGGCCTAATCAGTTTGTGTAGTGTCCTCGGGCTGTGTCATTCTTTTAAAGGTTGTGCCCTGCCCCCTTCTCTCCTGTTTCAGGGTCGGACTTGATTTTGAGAGAGGCCTTCGGGAATCCCAGTGAAGAGTGACGAGGGCACATCAAAGGGGGAGGCGAGGAGGGTTCGAGGGGTGGAGAGAGACCTGCCCCGAGGCCAGCTGCACACCAGGCGCCTACAGCCGATGCCCTGTCACCCTCATTCCACCAGCAGCCATGGAGATGGTGTGAGGTCTCCCTCCAGCCCTTGAAGAACAGAATGGGGACATGGGAGCAGGGCAGCTAGCGTCTTGAGCCGCAGGTAGTTCACCTGGGACACCACCTCCCTACGTTGTCTCCCAGGGTCTGGGGGCTCCAGAAGGCCAGTGTCAACCGTGCAACCCCAGGATTTCCATTCACTTTGCCCCACCCATCAGAGAGGTCTGGAACAGGATAGCTGGGAGAAATTGTAGGGAGACTGAGGACTAAAGCAGGGAGGAGAGGACAGGTGAGGTGGGGCAGAGGTAGACCCTGGACTCCCAGCCCAGTGTTCCCTGTACCCCCCCCACCCCTGGCCCATGATCGTTTTCTGTAAATCTGGTGGTGATCATGGACCCCCTGAGAGGTATGGTAGGGCCTGCAGGGCCATGTCGCACTGAGGTGGGTGGCATTTTGGGTGGGGGTATCTGGTGGGTCTCCGGCACGTGTGTGCTCCACACTTTGGCCCCCTTGTGGAGAGGCCGGGGTGGTCAGGGCCCCATCCACCACAAATGTCTGAAGGAAAGAAAGGGAAGCGCTCAGTTTCCCTTTTAGCTGCTCCTCACTTGGAGGTCACCTCCCAGTGAGCCCCGATTTCCTGGCCGGTGAATTAGGAGTCATAATTCGCACGGCTACCGGTTGCGAAAATGAATTGAAATCAAGTATGTTTAGCACAGAGATTGGTACACACAGGCCCTCATAAATGGCTGTCTGCATTCGTTCATCCATTCGTACCCTGGGAAAGTCAGCATGGAGCAGGGGCTCGAGACGCCCCGACCCTCCCGGGCAGAAAGCGGCCAGGGCCCTTAGGGGTGACAGTTCCTACGCCCCGACCCCTCCACGTACAGTCCCAGAAAACAGTCCCGGAGGAGGTCATCCCCAAGGTCACAGAGGGTCAGCGTAAAGGGAATGTGGAATACGACTCGTGGGGTGCCGAAGAAAGTCACGCTCGGCGGAGCCGGAGCGCCTAAGTGCGCGCCCAGTCTCTCACTGAGCCGGGGCACAGCAGGCGGGGGCCAGGGGCCCTTCCCGGCGCAGGTCTCCCGTCGCCGGGAGCTCGAAACCCGGAGCCTTTTCTCGCCGGCCACTCGGGTTTCCGGGAGCCCCGCCCCGTTCACTCCTCATCCCGGCCCCGCCCCCCGCGCGCCCTCAAGTTTCTCCCAACTTTTCCGCGGGTCCCCCTGGGCGCCCCGCCCGCCGACCGGTGACGTAACAATGGTGCAGCGCGGCGGCCAATGGGTGGTGGCGGGGGCCGGCAGCGCGGGCCAATGGCGGCGGCGGGCGGCCCCGCGGTCCTGCCCGGCCGGGGCCGCACTGCGCCGCCCGCCGCTAGCCCGCCAGCCGCCGGCGCCGGCACCGCCGCCCAGCGATCTGGCCGCGGCGGCTCAGAGCGCGGCTGCGGCGGGCGCGGGCGCCGGCGGCACCCTCCCGTCCGTCTGTCCTGGGAGCTTCGCCTGCGCGCCGACCCGCGGGGGGCCAGCAAGCTTTCCGGCCCGCAGCGGGGGCGGGGACGCCAGGCTAGCGGCCCCTCCGACCCCCACGGTGAGTCCCCCTTCCTCGGCCGGCTCGGCGTGTAGCCGCCGCCCCCCTCATCCCCCCCAGACACACGCGCACGCAGGTGCAGCCCTCGCTGCGCCGGCCACCGGCCCGCACTCTGGCCTCGACCCGCGACCCGCGGCCACCCGGGGTCCGGCCGTGCCGCCAGTAGGGGACGGGGAGGAACTGGCGGGCGGCCCTGGGCGCGCGGCCTTGCCCTCGGTGGCCCAACCCCCCATTCACTGAGCCGCGACCGTGACTCGCTGCCCGGTGACGTGGGGCGGCTCAACTTTACGTAACCTGCCCCGCTCCCAGTGTCCACACAGGGTGCACCCGGGTCGCGGAGACCCAGGCGTGGTGCTCCAGTTACGGTGTCCCCAAAACGGTGCTGTGGCTCCAGCCCCCAACCCCTGTGCCCGTCTTTGTAACTTAGTTACACAGTGTGTGTGGACGCAGCTTATCCGCTGACCCAGGTCCCTTGTGACCAAGGGCTTACCCTTGAGAAAACGCAGTGGGGAGCTTGGGCCAGGGCCAGGGGTTGGAGGTCAGGGCTCAGGTTGGCGCAGGGGGCTCAGAGGGCAAGGTTAGAGCTCAAGCTGGGTTCCCCGTGGGTTGGGGGCCCCCCCACTTCTGGAATGAGCCCGATATAGGAGTTAGGAGATCTGGGTTCCAGGCCTGTCTCTACCATGACTTGCCGACTGACCTTGGACTAGTTAGTCCCTTACTGGAAAATGGGATGACAGTACCTGCTTCTTCTAGTCATTGGGAAGACTCAGGGAACTAGCAGACCTGGAGGGGATTTACAGACTGTGAAGAGTGTACACGCCAGTTTCTAGGTTGATTTCATCCTCCTGCCTCCTCCCAGGAGCTAGGGGCGGTGACATCCAGTAAACACCATGTTTGGGTGGAAGGCTACAGGCCCCCACTTCCTGCTATGGCTCACAGACTGCCTTCCCCCTTTCTTACAGATGAGGAAGCAGAGGCTCAGGCAACAGTAATACACCCACCTACACAGAGCTAGGTAATCGCGGTGCACTAGCCAGGTAGGTCTGAGTCTAGAGCTCTGACCCTGCCTGGCCTGGGGTAGGGATCTCGACCGCAGTCGGGGGTCAGACGACAGGGTCAAGGTTAGATGGGGCTGGGGATAGGGAGCTTGGGCTACAGAAAAGATTTGGCTCAGCTTGAGATGTGGAATGCAGCTTTCCTAGTCCCCTACCTGGCTTTTCCCTTGGAGTTGGATGCAGCTCTCACAGGTGGGAGCAGGAACTCTTCCAGTGGGTCCCTGGGCTGGACGGGGTGTGGGGTTTCTGTGTGGCCTTGACGGTAGCTGGGGCTGTGAGGGCAGGGACAGGGAAGGGCATCTTTAGCAGAGGTACCGGAGAACAAGACAGTTTTGGGGAGGGCGACCAGGCGCAGCTAGATCAAGGATGTGGGAGGTGGTTCAGGGCCTGGGAGAGAAGGGAAGCTGTGAGGAGTGACTGGGAGGGCCGGTCGGAGGCTGGGGGCAGGTACGAGAGAGGCCCGGACAGGTGGGGCTGTGTGAGGATTGGACGGGAGACCCCTCTCCACCCGGAACTTCAACCCTCAACCCTCACCGCGCTTCCCTCTGCCCGCAGGTGGTCGGCCCCAGGCCCATGCCGTGAGACCGGGAGGCGCCGCCAGCATGCCGTGGGACGCACGGCGGCCTGGGGGCGGCGCGAACGGCGGGCCCGAAGGCGCGGGCGCAGCGCGCTCGCGGGCGCAGAAGCAGTGCCGCAAGTCGTCGTTCGCTTTCTACCAGGCCGTTCGCGACCTGCTGCCCGTGTGGCTGCTGGAAGACATGCGCGCTAGCGAAGCCTTCCACTGGGACGAGCGCGGGCGCGCCGCCGCCTACTCGCCGTCGGAGGCGCTGCTCTACGCCCTCGTGCACGACCACCAGGCGTATGCGCACTATCTGCTGGCCACGTTCCCGCGGTGCGCACTCGCGCCGCCCAGCGCCGGCTTCCGCTGCTGCGCGGCGCCCGGGCCGCACGTGGCGCTGGCCGTGCGCTACAACCGTGTGGGCATCCTGCGCCGCATCCTGCGCACCGTGCGCGACTTCCCGGCCGAGGAGCGCGCGCGCCTGCTCGACCGGCGAGGCTGTAGCCGCGTGGAGGGCGGCGGCACGTCGCTGCACGTGGCCTGCGAGCTGGCGCGACCCGAGTGCCTCTTCCTGCTGCTCGGCCACGGCGCCTCGCCCGGCCTGCGCGACGGCGGCGGCCTCACGCCGCTCGAGCTGCTGCTGCGTCAGCTGGGCCGTGATGCCGGGACCGCCCCCGCTGTCGGGGCGCCTGCGCCCGGGGAGCCGCGCCAGCGCCGCCTCCTGCTGCTTGACTTACTGGCGCTGTACACGCCCGCGGACGCAGCCGGCCCGGCCCGCCGCGAGCTGCTGGGCGACCGGCCGCGCTGGCAGCGGCTGCTGGGCGAGGACAAGTTCCAGTGGCTGGCGGGCCTGGCGCCACCCTCGCTCTTCGCGCGCGCCATGCAGGTGCTGGTCACCGCCATCTCGCCCGGCCGCTTCCCCGAGGCCCTGGACGAGCTGCCGCTGCCGCCCTTCCTACAGCCACTGGACCTCACGGGCAAGGGCTAGACCGCGGGGGCACCCCGGGTGCTGGATTTTTGCAGAATACTATTTTTCAGAGCGTTGTACCCTGCACTTTACATATATTGTTCTCTGGACAGCAGAATCTCTGCTTTGTCTGTAGCGTGCTTTGGGGGCTGGGCCAGGACGGGCAGGCGGACCCGGAGCTGCAGGTCTTCTGGATCCGGCCGCGCTCAGCTCCCCACCTCCCTGCGTGGAGCTGGGCTACGGGGTCAGGCGACGCCTGAGAGCCGGGCCTTGCCCTCAGCTCACTACCCAGACCCTGAGGAGCGGCCTCCCATCTTGATTTAGAGCCTCTGGGAAGGTGTCCCGGAGGGAGAGACAGCTGAGCTGGGCAGGTGCAGGGGGGTGGACTGACGTGTCCAGGCAGGGGGACGGCGTGTGCAAAGGCCTGGAGGCCGAGGGAACCGCCCGTGGGCGCTGGGTGGAGATTCTCTGCCCCGTCAGCAGGTGGGGCCTCGACCACTCCCCTGTGGGGCTGGGCCTCAGGTCCCGAGCTGTGGAGGGCAGGACCCAGGCTGTGCCTCCTGTTTGCCCCCGTCCCGTCCTGGCCACCTGCCTCCTCCTCGGCTGTCACTGGGACCGCGCCCTCCCCAAAGAAGCCCAGGCCTGGACTTGTCGCAGTCGCCCCATTGGCTCTCCTCTGGCGACTGGCAGGTACCTAATCCTGGGGCTCCTGACGGGCGTGGCTGCGTCACCCCGTGGCGGGCCCTCCAGCCTCAGCCAGTAGACCTGGTTTCCGCAGGAAGGGTTTGAAGATGGAGACTGGTTGACCCTTCAGGACAGAGGGACCCTGGCTGAGAAGCTGGGTCCGTGCCCCGAGGAGCCTTGGGATCAGGGATGGCCAGGCTGTCCTGCCCGGGAATTCTGCTGGGCCGTGAAATTCAACCCGCGCCGGCATGGGCTGGAGGGCCACGATGTTCTGCCAGGAGCAGAGGGCTAACGATCTGCCCGATGAACAGTGGCCGCCTGGCTGGGGGCACCCACTGCCCACCCTGCCCCCAGTGTCCCCGAGGGGGGCATGCCTGGGGGCCGAAGGGGCTTTGGGTGGTGGTGGCAGAGTCCAGGGTGATGGGCCGTCAGAGGGGGGCTGTGGAAGGGGCCTGGGCAGCGGGAAGCTCTGCCAGGGGGCCTGGTTCTGGTCTGCACCTGCCACCCACTCTGAGGGTGACCTTGGATAAACCCCTGCCTTGGGCTTCAGTGTCCCCAACTGTTTACAAAGGGGTTTTGGAGCATCTCCAAGCTCCCTACCTGCCCTGGAAAGGATGTGACCCCCGTTGCTGGGAAGCGTGGGGTGGGTGGGCACACAGCCCTGGTGGGGAGGAGGGGGGGGATGGAGGGGTGTACGGCCCGGTGCTGATCCTAGATTCTGGGTGGGAGCGAGGGCTTCTCCCCTCCTGCTGTGTGTCCTGGCCCAGTTAAATAGCCTTTCTGAACCTTGACACTTGGGGGCAGTGGATACTAGCATCTCTAGCTTAAAACTTGGGACATCAGGAGTCCCCTGGTTCTTAACCGGGGATGCGTTGCTGCGGGAGGGTGCATTCCTTTGGAGGAGGTGGAAAGGGCAGACCAGAGCAGCAGGTCTCCGTGGCTTCTGGGCTTTGGGCTTAGGGAGATGTTGGGAACTTTTGGCGCCCTCGTGCCCAAGCAGCTTCTGCCTGGAAAGAACCTGGGCACCCGACGGGGGACCTGGGCATGCAGACTTCCCCTCATGTCTCCCAGGTCCCAGCTCTGTCCTCTGTGGGGTCAGCCCTCCTGGCCCAAGGCCCAGGGCTAGGCCCCCATCCGCTTCCCTGTTAGACCTACAGCTGCCCCTTTGGTGATGAACTCCTTTGAGCCCCCTGGGCTGGGGATGGAGTGATGCAAGGTTGGGGGGGCTCCCTGGCGGGGACCCTACAGAACCCATTGTCCGGGGAGCAGGAGGCAGCCCCTGGGCTGGTCCTGGCACGCAGGGCAGGATCCAGGCAGGAGTTGTTGTGGGCACCACAGCAGGGGGCCCAGCCCCGGAGCACAGCTTCATAGCTTGGAGGGGTGCAGGGCAGGACGGCAGCGGGGGGGCGTCAGCCCCGGGTGTCCTGGCCGCGGCCTGGTGGGACAGGGAGCCACAGGGAAGGCTGAAGAAGCCCTGTGGCAGCAGAGTGGGGCCTGATTCCTGGCACAGCTCCCACTGAGTCCCACTGGGGACCCCTGGCCCAGGGCACCCCAGGCGTCCGTGGGAGCAGAGAACCCAGAGCAACAGTGCAGGGCGGAGAAGCCTCAGGGTTATCTGGCCGCTGCTGCCGGCCGAGTGAGGGCGGGCAGGCGGGCCTCAGCACTGGCCTTATCACTCCCCTGGGCCCTCCAGCACCCCGTCACCACTGTCACCCTGGTGATGAGCAGGGAGGCCTGGGGAGGGCCAGAGTCAGCCAGGAGACTCACTTCTTGGCTGTTGGCAGGTAGCCTTGATGGCTTCTCAAAGGCAATGGCTCTGCCTGGGACAAGGCCCACGTGTCTGGGACAAAGCACCTTGGTTCGTTCGTTCACTTCCTTCATTCCATGAACCTTGTCTAAGGAAAACCCCACTCCTGCCAGTACTGCCCCTGCCATGGCCATCCAGGGGCCCAGTGAACTTCCAACTCCGGAGAGCTCAGGGGCCAGAATCCCTGCACCCCAGACACCTGTCGGGGAGGACAGAGAAGGCTGGGCTGCTCGTCCCCAAGGTACTGTGACCCTGTGCCTGGAGCCCGAAAGGGACACACAGCCCTGTGACGGCCTGTGGCCACAAGGCCCCTGCTCTGCCCCCACTTTGGCCGTGTCGTGTGCTAACTTACCCCATTACTACCTCGATATTCCTACTGATTTCCTTTCCTGTCAATTTCTTCAACTTTAAAATACTGTATTGAGAGCAGTTTCCTAAGTTACCTGAAATCCTGTTCAGAACAAGGGTGCTTCCTGAAGTCGGGATGGAGGGGAAACAGGCACGGTTGGGGAAGGCTTCTGCTCCAGAAGTGTGTGGATGTGAAGCAGCCCTGCTCCACGGTGACTGGTTTTGTCCTGCTACAGTTTAAAATTGAGGCATACTTGACATAATAAATGCACAGACTTTAAGGGTGTGGTTTGAGGGGTCATAACCAATGTCAACACACGTGTAACCATCCCAACCAAGGCAGAGGTTGAAGATAAGAGATTTCTATCCTCAGTGATTTTTTTTTTTTTTTGCGGTACGCGGGCCTCTCACTGTTGTGGCCTCTCCCGCTGCGGAGCACAGGCTCCGGACGCGCAGGCTGAGCGGCCATGGCTCATGGGCCCAGCCGCCCCGCGGCATGTGGGATCCTCCCGGACCGGGGCACGAACCCACGTCCCCTGCATCGGCAGGCGGACTCTCAACCACTGTGCCACCAGGGAAGCCCCTCAGTGATTTTTTTTTTTTTTAAGCCACACCGTGCGGCTTGCGGGATCTTAGTTCCCCGACCAGGGACTGAATCCGGGGCCCAGGCAGTGAAAGCGAGGAGTCCTAACCGCTGGACTGCCAGGGAATTCCCACATCTTCAGTGACTTTTATAAAGAATTTCTGCTGATAGAATGCATGCTCATGGGAGAATGCTCGGACTGTGCAGAGAAATCCAGGGCAGGATGTGGCAGAGGCCCCTCCATGCAGCTCCCAGGTAAAGAGGCTGCCCGCCTGCCTGGCGGCATCCCACCACCCAGACAACCACTGCTACTAGCATTTGGTGTATTTTCTTCTGTTTTTCTCTATGCACATATATACATATGTTCAAATTTTTTTCTATGCATACTTTTTCACATGACATCAGATCAAATCTAGTATTTAAAAACTTTACTGTAGAGTAAGCATTTCCGTATACTGTAAAACATTGTGTAAATACGATTTTTGAGAAGACTTTGGTGTTTACTTTGTGGTATTTGATTCAGCTAGCGCTGATACGATAAAGAGTTGATGTTAGAGAGAACTGAGTCTTTAAAATGTGAATTTTATTTATTTTTGGAATAAATAACACATTTACATGGCTCAAATTCAAAAGATACAAAAAGGTACACACTACAGGTGACCACCGTGACCAGCTGCTTGTGTAGTGTCTTTCTGCCCCTCCTCTGCGCCCTGGAATTATGAAAAAGATTTCAAACCCACCATAAGTTAGAAGAGTACAACGTGTCCACTGGCATTATCTACCTCTCCCTGTATGTATGATCTCCTACAAACTCACATGATCATTACCACGCCCAAGAGACTTAACGCTGCTGTGATGAAACTGCATGACTGACTGCTCAGAACGCACATCCCCCGGGAAGACACGTGCTTTCTAACATCTGCATATTGTTTCATGAGAGGAATGCTCCCGAATGTCAGTTGTTTTTAGTGTTTCACAATTACAAACGATGCTGCGCTGTATGTTTAACCCTGACTTAGGATTTGTTCTTGAGGACAGGCTTCCAGAAGTAGGAGGAGTTCCGGGACTTGAGGGTTTTAAGGCTGCTGCCGGACCCAGTGGCTTTCCCCGAAGGGCCGTGCCAACGGCGGCTCCCCGCTTGCTCCATGTGCACGCCTGCCCTGGGTGTGCACTAAGCAGTGCCCTTTCATCTCCTTTGTCCATACGTGTGTCTTCGGTGTTCCTCCGACTTGTTGCAACTATTTCCCCTTCTAGTTTTATGCGGGGTTTTTCATTCACAGCATCTTTATATTTTGAAGAAATCAAGTCTATAGAGTATTTTCCTCTGACTTTTCCCACTACTTGTGAGTTTAGAAAGTGCTTGCCATCCAGAAATCAGATAGTTTTTTGCCCCCTAGTTTTAAGACTCTTTAATCCACTTAACTAACGTTTGTCTGAATGGTTAAGTGGCGGGCCGCATCAGTTAACTGTGAAGTCACTGTCCCGTCCTCTCACCTGCGTGCCGCCTTCACCTTGTTAACTCCCCGTGGACCTCGCTGGGCTGCCCGACGTCACTGGCCCTTCCATCCACATCCCACTTCGTTTGCTGGCCCCTGTCATCGCTCCTGGCAATCCTCATTTGTTTCTTCTTCTCAAGACAGTGAGGTGGCGTCAGACAGCGCAGGTCTGGAGTCCCACCGAGCTGGGCTCCAATCCCAGCGCTCCTTGTGCTGACTTAAGCAAGTTACTTCACCTCTCTGAGTCTCACTGGGGCTAATGGTATTGACCTCTCAGGGCCCTACTGAGGACGTGAAGCTGCACGCGTGAGACCCTCACAGCATATCTGGCACAGTCAAGGGGGGGGGTGTCTGTGGGTATGAACATTATTTTATGGATTCTTCTCTGCCTACCCGCAACAAAGAAAATCCCAGTGGGAATTTTGACAAATTGAGTGATAGCCATAAATGTCTTTGGAAAGGACTGGTGTCTTTCTTTGCACAATGGCTGTGGTCTTCCATCAGGAATGTCAACTGCCTTCCCAATTCGGGCTCTCTTGGAAGTCTTCAGTAGAGCTTGGCCAGCTCTCGACCGAGTCTGACATTTCTTGTTCAGGCTGTTTCCCGGCACGTGATGCATCCCGCTGCTGTCGTGAACGTGATCTTTTTTCCATGTGCTGGTTTCCACTAGGGCACTTCTGGTGTCTGGTTTTGTGTCCTGGATGAAGACTCAGGCCCAGGGTCTCGAGCCCCCAGAGCCTGCCCACAGCGGCCCTGTGCTCTGCCTCACGCTACGGTGTCCTCCCCAGGGCCACCTCTGCAGTGGCACTCCCCCAGGACAGCCCCCGGGCAAAATGGTCACGAAATGACGTCTGCCCACACCCTCCTGGCCGTGGGGCTGGGCTGGCAACACCAGCAGCAGATTCTTTGCAGCACCAGTGGGAACAGCCTTCCTGAGTGCCCACTCAGGGCACCTTCTCACCACTCAGACATCAGACTCGACTAGGCTCGGAAAAGTCTAGTTTATTGCACTGTCTCAAAGCACAACTTAAAAAAAAAAAGAAAAAAGAAAAGAAAACCGTACAAAGCACTGAGGCTACAAGTAGTTTAAAAGTATCAAACTAACTAGACTGGGTTAACTGCACTAAAGTCCCGTGGGCTCAGGAGAGCTCTGCCATCTGAGGAGCCCGGCAAAAGGCACAACATACGCAGAAGAGGAGCCTCAGCCGCCTGCGCTCCCTCTGCTGTCACCAGACTTCTGAAAAAACGCATTCTATAAAAGTGAAGTAGTAAGTAAGGTCTGGGATTTCAGCATCTTGTCCTCATTTAGACCTGGAAAACCTCCATCCTCATGGCTAGCTGGGTCCTGTCAGAGAACAAATCTTATCGCTCTTCACCTGTGGCCTGGGGGCTCCCGGACACACCTGCTTAGTAGAAAACAGGCATTGAGTAACTGGGCCCCGGGCCAAGGGCAGGCTAAAAAAAGCAGCCAGGCTGGAGTCCTTCCGTGGAGCTGCCTCCAAGAGGGAGGGGTGGCGGGCTCAGGGCGGATGCCTGGCTGGGCTGCAGAGTCCTACAGCTCAGATGCCAGCGACAAGGGTAGGCACTGCAGGCCGAGCCCATGGACTGAAGTCTGACGTGGCCACAGCAGGCCCCAGCTTCAACCTCGCTGGGCACCCCCCCAGATACCCGCTGACAATGTCTGGCTGCCACTCGCAGCCAGCAGGCAGGTCCCGTGGCTGCCCCACACATCGAGGACACACAGGGCGGTGTCCGTCCTCTGAAGCTGCAGCCAAGAACAGCGCAGGCTCAGGACAGACCAGGGGAAGGAATCAAAGGCCTTCCCCTGGTTTCAGAAAATACAGTTCTCTTCTAAATTTGTAAGATCTGATTTCAAGTGAGGTATCTCATGTAGGTTTGTAATACAACAAACAAAAAAGGCAAGAATTAGTAGATTCATCCTCTGAAGGTGCTTCTGGTTTTCACGACGTCACCAGCAGCAGGGCTGAGTGTCACCCTAAGACATTCCTATGTCACTAACATGGCTAAGGTTCCCACGTCCCACCACACCTGCCTCGGATACACACGCACACTTCCGTATTCCGGGTCACCCACTGGCCTTTACTGTTCTGCTGGAGGCGAGCCCGGCCCCCTGGGAGCGGGCAGGGAGGGTGTGTGTGGCGTGTGCATGTCGCTATGCGTGTGTCCTCGTCCTGGCACAGCTGGCTTCCCATCTGGTGTGGCCAGCAGGGAATGGGCGCTGGGACCTGCGTCTCAGAGAGGAGGTGGGGGGACCCTGTGGTGGAGACGAAGCCATCCCAGGAACACATTCGGTGGATGGACGGCACTGACCTTGGGCTCCACGGGCCCGGGAGCGGTCAGTGATGGGAAGGTGACCACAGCAGACGGCGGTAACCATAGTGCATGCAACTGGAGCAGCCACCGTCCCACTCGGGGACGGCCTCAGCGGGAGTTCAGAGGCACTGCTGCTACAGCAACGGCTCCGGACCTCTCGGCCAAGGCTGTGGGTTCTGGAATGAGATGGAAACAAATACGGAGGAAAGCAAGAGCGGAGCGTCCCACCTGGATAGACGTGCCTGACAAGAGCGGGTGAGGCACGTCCAAGGGCAAGCGACTCAAAACCGCCCGTGTCCGCCACACGGGTCTCGGTGGCCTCCCCGCCGAGAGCTCCTTCAGATGACCTCCCACTCGTCGTCCAGGTCCTCGGGGTGGGGGGCGGTGGCCTGGCTGCTCGGGGTGCCGTGAGAGTGGCTGAAAGTCCTAGTTAGCCGCTGCAGGAGGGAGCCGGTGGGGCCCACTGCCCACAGCTCGTCTGACAAGGTCACTGCAGGGACAAGAGCCAGCCGCACGCCCGTTACTCCCCAGCCCGGCTCCACGTCTGCACATGCGCTGCCTAGCGGTGGGGCCCCGGGCACCCCCCGACCGGCACCTCGGCTTCCCCGGCCTTCAAGGGGGCGGCCTGGCGCCCCGTCCTCTTCCCGGGAGACCCTGGCAGAGTCCGG